GAAGATACAACCCGGACAGTGGATAAAAAGTTTAAAGGTGAAATGGAAGAGGAGGATGTTCATCCACATTTGCCTCTAGCAGAAAGATTTCCGAAATAGCTAGAAAATTAGAAGTTGGATACCATCATTTAGAAATTTTATTATTGTGTACTAGGATTATATAAAATATGTTAATTATTCAATACATAATATATTTATGACTAAATTACTTATAAGTCATTTTTAGTATGGCTGTAAGCCGACTCTCAAAAGTTCAGCAGTAACAAAATTCATTTCATTAAACTTATCTATGAAAATATATAGCATTTTGTTCTAATATACATGTTGGCAACCACCGTTGATTCCCCTAGCGCATGCGCATGATAAGCAAGTTCTCTGCTGCGTAATGCTAATGCTCAGTTAATAAGGAGTTAGCCAAAGTCAATGATGAGTATTGCATGTAAGCGAGAAGTGGTAAGTGCTGTGTAATGTCATGTTTCTACTCTGCTGTTAAACGTCTTCGTAGTTTAAATAAATGTTTGTCATGTATACAGAAGACGTCATTTTATTCTTCATTGGTTATGGGCCCAGATAGTGCTTAACTGTGCAGTCCAACTACCATTGTTAAATTCTTTCGGGAAGCCAAGCTGCGTCGACTGAAATGAAAATGACTAATACAGTGTCAATTGAAAAGCTAAACAAGGACAACTTTGACACATGGAAGTTGCAAATGGAAGCAATACTGATTAAAAATGATCATTGGGACTATGTAACTGAGAAAATTCCGAAACCAGAACCTGGTGATGAAGAATTTGCTAAATGGAAAACTACTGACCAAAAAGCACGAGCAGATATAATACTATCCATCTTACCCAGTGAACTTCCACACGTAAAGAATTGTGTAACATCTCACGAACTGTGGAATAAATTGCATTCTATTTACGAATCGAAGGGACCAGCTAGAAAGGCAACAATTCTAAAAAAATTGCTTTTTACAAAAATGAGAGATTCTAAACAAATGAATGATCATCTAAATGATTTTTTCATTCTTGTGGACAAACTGAAAGAAATGGAAATAAACATTGTGGATGATTTGCTTACAATATTGATTTTATATAGTATACTGGACTCTTATGAAAGCTTTCGAATAGCCATTGAATCTCGTGATGAATTGCCTTCTCCAGAAATGCTGAAAATTAAACTGTTGGAAGAAGCTAGCCGCTCGCAAAAATAAAGATTCATCGTTTTCTGAAACCACAAACATGCGTTCTATTCGAAAAGATCGGAAGTATACTCAACGAACCGGTTCCTAAACCAAAACCAGATAAGTCTGCAAAGTCCGAAGACAGTATCCAGTTAACTACAGATGCAACTTCTGCCATATCTATGGACATAGAGCATCGGAATGTAGAAAGAAAAGTAAAGAAACTAAAAGCAAACGCCTCAGTGAAACTGCGATGTCTGCAGAGAATCAGAATTCCTTGGAGTAAGAAAAAGCCGAAGCATGCACTGATAGTAATTCTAAAGACATTTTTTGTCTGGATAGTGGTGCAACATCGCATATGTGTAACAGAAAGGAACTGTTTCAAGAAATCCATGAGGTAGGTGATACTTATGTTAAATTAGCTGCTGATAAAATAGTTAACGCTAATGGAACAGGAACTGTGAAGTTTAAAGTTCGCATAGGTTCTAAAACTGAAAACATCAAACTCAAAAATGTACTGTGTGTACCTGATTTGAAAAATATTTTAATCTCAGTGTCTAAAGTAACTGAAAATAATCAGTAATTTTCAAAGAAAAATGTGCTCAAATAATTAATTCTAATAACGAAACAATAATTTTAGCTAAACGTGAAAATTATCTTTATTTTGTCATGCCAATATTTGAATCTGTATCAATTGCTAAAGAAATAGATCAGTGGCATATAAGATTTGGCCATTTAAATGAAAACGATCTTAAAAAACTTCAAATAAATAACATGGTTAGAGGTCTTTCTTTTTCTCAAAATGACTCTCTTTCTACTTGTAAGGTATGCATTCAGGGTAAACAAACTGCAACCCCCCTTCCCAAAGAATCTGAATACAGAAGTACTGAATTGTTGAATCTAATTTATTCTCATTTGTGTGATCCCATGAAAACCGAATCAATAGGTGGATAATTTTATTTCACAACATTTATCGATGATAAATCTCGACATGTTCGTGTTTATTTTCTGAAATCTAAGGATGAGGTTAAAGAAGCTTTCAGAAATTTTAAAGCATCTTTTGAAAATAAACTTAACTCTAAAATCAGAATCCTGCAAACCGATAATGGGCTAGAATATTTAGGGAAAGACTTTATTAAATTTCTTAATGACGTGGGAATAAAACACGAAATGAGCACTTCCTTACATGCCAGCCCAGAATGGCGTCGCCGAAAGATTAAATCGCACTTTAGTTTCAATGGTGCGATGTTTGTTATTGTCAATCCAATCTGCCTCAGAAATTCTGGGCCGAAGCCAGTCAATATGGCGGCTGCTTACGTTTGAAATCGCTGCCCAACGCGTTTAAAAAAGCGAAACAAAAACACCTCACGAAGTGATGTTTGGCAGAGTACCAGCTGTCTCTCACTTCAGAACCTTTCGGCCAAAAAACATTTTCCACTTAATAAAAGGCCAGGAATAAGGCAAATTTGATATTCGATCTAAAGAATGTATTTTTTTGGCTATTCTGATGAATCAAAAGCGTATAGACTTTGGGATCCTGAGGCATGTAAAGTGATAATAAGCAGAGACGTAAAATTTATTAACGAGTTTGAAAACTGCTGTAGTTATGACTCAGAGCAAGAAATAAATCTGCCTTTCGCTCCGGAGGAAAAAATTAAAAATAAAACATGTTGTGATGAATCATCACCTCTGGACGGTAGCGAGTCGCCACTTCACTGTGAAGCTGAAAAGGAAAGCGGAAGTGATTTAGATAGCGAATCAATGCATTCTATCCTGATTAAAAGGAGGCCTGGTCGACCCAAGAAACTAAAAACAGGTTTGCCAGGAAGGCCTAAAAAGGAATATCACTATACAGTTTTAAATAAAAATGAACAAACTCAAAATGTTGTTGAGGAAAGCATTAATCCTATGGTGCAAGAAGCATTAAATGGACCATATGCTAAAAATTGGCATAATGCCATGCTGTTAAAATATAACTCTCTTGTTCAAGAAAAGGCCAGGGAATTTGTAAAAAGACCTCAAAACAAGAATGTTATTGGTAGTAAATGGGTTCTTAAATTAAAATATAATCACGACGACACTATCGAAAAATACAAAGCTAGGCTAGTTGCCAAAGGGTGTGCTCAAATCCCTGGTCTCGATTTCACTGAAAACTTTTCCCCTGTTGCTAGATTAAGTTCCATAAGAACAGTTTAAGCCTACGCAGTAGAACATAATCTCAAAGGTTACCAATTAGATTTTGTAATGGCCTATGTAAATGGAAATTTAGATGAAGAAATCTACATGGAAATTCCCGAAGGTTTTTCGCGATGAAAACTAATTCAGATAAAGTGTGCCTTTTAAAGAGATCATTTATACGGTCTTAAACAGTCAGGACGTCAGTGGTACAAAAAGTTGGATGAAAAATTAAAATCTATGAAATTTAAATCTCTTAATTCAGATAATTGCGTTTATATTAAAAAGACGCCTAACAGTGAAACTATTATAATCGTTTATGTAGACGATCTTATCGTTTTTACCGATTCTAAGCAAATGTATGAAACAATTCGCGATAATTTAGCTTCTGCTTTCAAAATGAAAGACTTGGGGAAGTTACATTATTGCTTAGGCATAGAATTTCACCAAAATGAGAATTCAATTAAAATTTCTCAAAAGAAATACGTTGAAGATATTTTAAATCGGTATAATATGCAAAATGTTAAATCCGTGTCTTCACCTATAGATAACAGCAAAAAATTATCAAAAGAGATGAGTCCTAAAAATGAAAACGAAATCGCTGACATGAAAAATATTCCATTTAGATAATCTGATCGGATCACTAATGTACCTTTCAGTAGCTACTAGACCAGACATCACATACGCTGTGAAATTTCTTAAGTCAATTTAACAACAATCCCGGCAAAGAACATTGGCATGCTGTGAAAAGAATACTTCGATATCTAAAGGGAACACCAAGAATCAAGGACTAATTAATACGAAAACAGGAAAATCAACTCATCCGCCTTTGTGGATGCAGATTGGGCGTCAAATGTCGATGATAGAAAATCCCACACAGGTTTTGTATACTATATTAAAGTGGTTCAGCCATCAACCTTGGGAATCACGAAAACAACGCAGTGTAGCTCTATCGGAGGCAGAATATATGGTCTCTGTCTGAGGCTGCCAAAGAAACCGTCTACCTACGTCGTTTCCTGAAGGAGCTGGGTTACAGCATAGAAAACACCCAACAACAATATACTGCGAACAATCAAGGAGGCTCAGAAAATTACGAAGAACTCAGTGTTTCACTCCCGTACAAAGCACATAGACATTCGCCATCATTTTGTGCGTGAAGTATATGAACGCAGTGAATTAGATGTGCAGTACATACCTACCAGTGGAATGGGAGCTGATGTGTTAACCAAACCCGACTCCTGTTAAACATCAAAACTGTTGTACAATTGTAGGATTGAATTCTGTTTAATATGTATTTTGTTTTACTTTTCATGAATAGGAGAATCGACGTCGAAAGGGGGTATGTTGGCAACCGCCGTTGATTCCCCTAGCGCATGCGCATGATAAGCAAGTTCTCTGCTGCGTAATACTAATGCTTAGTTAATATGGAGTTAGCCAAAGTCAATGGTGGTGAGTATTGCATGTAAGCGAGAAGTGCTAAGTGCTGTGTAATATCATGTTTCTACTCTGCTGTTAAACGTCTTCGTAGTTTAAATAAATGTTTGTCATGTATATAGAAGACGTCATTTTATTCTTCAACACAAAATCACCACAGCTATATAAATGCAGTTTCCTCAAATTAAGTAAATAGCTGTATAGTTACCTTTTCTTCTCCTCCAGACATTTCTTCGACAGGCTCTTTTATATCTTCTTTTAAACGCTAGGCAAACAAAAAGACACAATTTGTAAAAAAGATCCAGCGATGGCTATATTATTTCAATATTATACTATAACACTATTATATTAACATGCAGATACAAACATAAGTACCAATAAAATCTAATCTGTTGGAAAAAAAAGATACTTTTTTCAAAGCCCTACTACAAGGTGTTTTTTATTTTCGTGTATTTCCTGGGCACTAGTTTTGTTTCACTTTATAACAATCATTCACACAAACACATTTTTAATCTTTTTTTTTTCCCCCTCCTTAATTTTACTGCAATAGATTTTACTACTTAGATCTGCCAAAAAATGAAAAAGCAACTACTCCATTTCTCCAAGAAAATGTATTCTTCACAAAAAGAAACTATATTCCTACATGAAAATAAATGGCTGTCTTGAAATGGAAATGTCGCCTTTCCTTGTGCCAAGAAGAAAAAGGTGCCTAAACACAAGCATGGCTTACTAGATCCAACATTCCTTTCATTATAGCCATATGATTTATTTAGTTAGGGTGTAAAGAGTTAAATGTGAATTCAGTTTCATAAACTACAGCTTCAAATGAAAAGTAATTACATTTGAGTGGTATATGTTAATTCGTTGTTATCTCATTCTTAAAATCAATGGATGGAACAAAATAATGGAAATTGACAAAAGCCGATTCGTGAAAAGGGAAAAAACACAGACCATATTCCCCCCCCCCACAAAGGATCTCCCAACATAAATACAGCTAATTAGATCCATCATTTCTTACATTACTGCTGCATAATTTATTTATAATGGTGAGAAGAACTAATGCCAACTGAGTTTTTCAAACTAAAGCTTCATATAAATCCCAGTACAAAAGTCCAGCTGGAATAGTTATGTATGATAGGTATGTGCCAATTCCTAGTTATCTCACATTAAAATCAACCCCAGCATGTTCATAAAATGGAATGAAAAGTAGACCATACATTTTTCCCACATGGGGTTTTTTGAGTATTCAGTCATTTTCTTGCTGCTGTTCTTGATCGCTCTATACAAACTACAGACAATGTATAACTAAAGACAATGCTGCTGATGAAACAATTATATTTTCTGAGAGCTGAAGTGGATATGAATTGTTCCGATTTATTGTAGGTTAAATCACCGATATGGCCTTTGAGCAGTTTCGCCTAGTTTCTATCATTTTCATAACATCAAAAATAGATAATTGCTTTATTCCAAGGATATTTTGAATACTTCTACCATCTTAAAAAAAAAAAAAAAAAAAAAAAAAAAATTAATTTTTTTTTCATGTTAAATTAAAAATTTTTAACAGAAATTTTTGTTAATTTATAACATCTTGCCATGTTCCCTTCAGATAGGAAACTGTTAATGTATTTTGCTAAACAAGTAATAATTTCCAAATGCAAAATGAATTCTTGCGACGTACTTTCATTTAAAACAAAAAATTATGACAAGAAACATTGGACTTCCGGAACACTAAAATGAAACTTTTGAGTGTCTGAATTATATGCAAGTTACTAATTAACACTTTTTGAGTAAATTGTTTTATTATTTGAAATATTGTGATGATATTTATATTGTAACAAGCAAGGCTTAAAATACAAAAAAATAAATTAGGGAAAAAAATTAATCTGCATTTCAATATTTAGTACAATAACAATGCAAATTTAAAAAATATAAGCGTCCGAAAACAGATGTGAGCGCCGCTGTAAGTATGATATTAAATATATATATATATAATACTGAATTTTCAAAAAAAAAAAAAAAGTTTTGAAATACTGTGTTAGCACCATACGTACATATGTGAATGAAATTATAAGCGGGTTATAATTAATTGACGAATGAGTCCCATGTATTTATTAGGATTATAGTCCTCGGACCATCCTTTGGCCCTAACTGGTTAATTCTCATTCGGGATTTGAATACGAGACCATCGGCGTAGTAAACCCTTCGCAACCGGGAAGTTCTTATACACGTGAATAAAATAAGAACTAAAATTTTAAACAAAAATTATGCATTTCAGGAAAACGCACCGAAATATTTTTCAAATGCAAATACAAATTAATATCGCCAAAAAAGAGTAACACGAAATCCTAATTTTTTTTTTTTTTTTTCTAAAATTTCAATAAATTTAAGAAAATACCATTAAATAAAATCACCTATTACCAAAAGCCCGTGTTTTTTTTATGTACTTTTGCTTTGCTATAACCTGCAGTCATAAGCAAAAAACACCGACGAAAGTTAAGTAGTAAATAATCAGACATTAAATAACATTTCACTTCGGGAGATTTCGAAACGATAAATGTTAAGTTAAATTTAATCTTTAGAAATTTGTACTTACCATGAGAACTGTTTTGATACAAAACCAGCACTCGGAATGCACAGCAAAATTTATACAACAAACTATCAGAAATATGTAAAATATACAGACATCAATGCTTTTATAAAAATATAACTTTTATATACACGTTATACACACACACATACGAACAAATAACATATGTTGAAATTGAAGTAGAAGTTATTAATCATTTGGTAGCTTTGATACCTGTATTCCCTCTTCTTTTTCTTCGCTTCGATAGTCCACGAGGCTTTCCCCATCTGCCCCGCATCGTCTGCACTTGAAGTGCGGATGGTTGTTAAAAAATCCTAAGGCAATAAGAATCAGCGATGATTTTTCATAAATTAGCAGACGCCTTTCAAAAATTTGGATATGGAACCTCAGCTGCAGAAGTGGAAACGATGAAGCAGAAGCTTGTGCTCACACGATGTCAATGACAGCAATAGATCCAAAAAACTGAGAAAGTTATCTCATAAATTAAAACAAAGCTACTAGCTTTTTCTATTGATAGAACGGTAACAAACAATAACGAAATAATTTCTTTAAAAGCTGAGGGTTTAAGACGAATTGGAAACTTATCGTTAATTAACACTGAGAGACCTTTTACAAATGTAAAATGCTTGATTGATATCTTCCGCGACTCCGCGGTAGAAAGCATGTTCTGTTATTAGCTTTCAAAAAGGCTATGCCTTATACAAGCAGAGTCTTTTTATCTCTATGAAAGCGAGTAATTCGGCTAAACATTCGACCATGTCTCCAGTTATCTTTGAAGAATCTATTTATAACGGCCTAAAGTTCAACTCGCAAAACGTAAAAGTTGTATTGCCAGCAGATCTTTATCAATTTGTACATGGAGTACAAATGGTTGTATAATAAATTCCATTAAGTACGGGACTGTATTTCAGAGCACGATCTTGACTTGTTTTTAGTCCAAGAGATTCACTTTATCACAGGGCAAACTCCCAGAATATGGCAGAAAAAGTGGTGGTACCTGTATCTATGTGAAACGTTCGATTAAACATCACATGACACCTTGCCCTAAAGTGAAACATTTGGAAGCGACTATTATCCAAAATTTCTATACAAAACTCTCCCCCTTCACTATAGTTTTGGCTTCTCTTTCCTAATAAGGAGCTGCTCGTAGGAGTAATGTTTTTTCTCTCAGTGATTTTGATAAACTTTTAGCAATTTCAAATCAACTAACCATTGTTACTGATCTAAATTCCCACCATACCACATCGTTTTGTCCTAATAGGAACAGGTTATTCCATTAAACTAAATTCATGGTCTCAGAGCAGCTTCCAATTACAGATCATAGCTCTTAGTGGCAAGACCTTTCACCCAGTTAGAGGTTCCCCCGCAGTTCTTGATCTAGCTGCTTTTTATAACGTATATTTTCGGCATGAAATTAAAGTGATTCAAGACTTAGATTCTCATCACTACCCTGTTTTGATTACACTAGATATTCAAAATCGATACTCAAAATTACAGGAGCAAGTCTCTACAAATTGGGGCGAATTTCCAGACGATATCTACGGTGCTGAAATTTTGGACTATGAGTTCAATGATTCGGACTTGATGCTTGTGATATGAGTTTTGCGGATAAGTATTTATTAGTAAAGGACTTATCATTAGGTGCCCTTCGTTAACGCTGTGGACTTCCTCAAGAACTCCATCGGTTTCGAATATAAATTAATGATTGCAATGGACAGTTGTCAAGGAGAATCCTCATAAGGACATCAATCTGCACTGTGAGCAGGACTTAATTTCTAAAATCAGAAGTGCCGGACTCTCTGGAAAGCCGTCAGGAAGAAGGGGGGGAAATAAATAAATAAAATCACTAATAATTAAAATAATTGAATTAAAATTAAAATTCAATAAATATAAAGATATAAATAAAAAAATTAATAAATTATTTAATTAATGATAAGCAGTTAAATAAAATTAAATAAAATTTCGGACCTCGTCTTATTTGAGGCTCTGATTGGACTTGCAATTTCATACAAAAATAAGAAATAGCTCAACCGACCTCGGCTGAATTTAAACCCTAAATACAACGCAAAGCATACAATTTCAATGCGGGGGGAGATAATTTTTTTTTTTAGCTGACCAGTGGAAAAAAAGTAAAATGATTATTAAAACGTCACTAATGAAAATAGAGAGAATGCCGGAAACAATCTGAGAGCACGAAACGAAATTTTAATACAGAATTGTAGCTTCGAAAATAAACAGAAACAATTTCATGACCGCGATGCCCTGCCAGTATAATTCTCGCTGTCAAGCAGAATACGACTGGGCAAAAATATTTCCCTCAAATCTGATCCGATGGCAACATGATAACAAATGTAAGGTCTACATAAATGACAACTTTTGTCTCCCATATTTGGTTACCTACTTTAAGTCAGCAGGAGCTCTGCTGTGAGAGAGCACTAGCACTGAATGTGGAACATCAACGTAATCACTGATAATTTTTCGGGAACAAAACATTTTAATCGCTTTCTTAAACTTATTGCACTATTTGGAGAATAAGCCTTTGACATGTGGATTGAGACTTTTCTGTTCTTAACAAGTCTTAACTTCTGTTAAAGTGTTTGTTCACCAGAGAAAGACAGACATGAATTCGGAAGTTTAAAGGTATATTTATTTTTTAAATAAAATTTGTCTGCTGAAACTGTATTTCACTTATAGATATTAGGGTTTTTAGAAGCAAAAAGACGTGAAAAATGTGCAGTGCCATCGCCGGGACTCGAACCTGAGCCTCTCTACTAAACCGTTCTAACCGTTACACCACGAAGGCATGCTGGAAAGAGGGTGAAAACATTTTAAACCGGGAGACTTGGGATTAGAAGAGTCAAACGCCAATTCCTGGTGGTAAAGAATCATCATCCACCACCTTTTTAGTTCTGTCGCCACTGTAGAGAATTTTTAGGATTTTTCGAAACAAGGAAGTCGATGAATGAGCAATGCCATCGCCGGGACTTGAACCTGGAACTCTCTAATACACGCCGAGTGTTCTAACCGTTACACAACGTAGGCATGATGGAAGGAAGGAGAAAAATACCTTATACATTTACATATAAATCCAGAAATATCATGAAATTAAACAAATGCCACACTTGTTTCTTTTTCTTGAATGTTCCATTTTCTTTCTTGACAATAATGATCCCTTAACTGCTTATATTGTACCTGACATCTTTTTGCATACCATCCAATAATTGCAAATATTTCTATCATTCCTCGGACGAGTGTAAACTCGCTCCGAGGTGTGTAAATTGCGGTCTTCCATACAAAAGTTCGGATTGTCAAGTAGAATGGACGAAAAACTGACTTGCTGCAACTTTGACGGCGTACATGCCGATAATTTTTCCAAATGCCCCTAAATCCCAATAAACATACGTAAATAACTTTCTGAGAAAATTATTGATTCTAGCGAAAACACCTCTGAACCACGTGGCGAAGAGCCACGAGTGAAAAAACAGGTATCAGAAACTATCGTCGAGAAAATTGCTCCTCGTGGTGAGAAGTCTGGACCAGAAGAAAGCAGAAATATTTCCACTAAATAGATTATTCTCTGCTAAAACGTCTGAGAGCCAAAAGCCACAGTGATGAAAAATACTGATATTCTGAAGTTAACTGAAGATTAACTGAAGTTCAGATAGCATATATGCTACTTTCGCGGACATGCTTAAAGTTTACAATGAAATTAAAGGAATCTTTTCCGAATCTTCAATTCTTGATGTAATCAAAATTATCACTAGTAGACTTTATAAGGAGAAGCTGCTTGTATTATTTAGTATACTTGAAGAAATCTTCAAAGGGGGAACTTCGAGGAGTTTCATTAAAAATAATTCTTCCCTTAATATGATTACTTCATGTGTCCTGAAGTTGTCAGTAGTTGGTTGTTTTTGTATCGTATCTAGTAATTTAGTACGTGATGTGTATTTGTAACTAGATTTTCCGTTTTGCATTTTGAATCCTTTTTTTTCGTATTATTTAAAAATTTGTTATGATGTCATGAAGATTCGCACTGCCTTCACATGTTTAATTTTAGTTTTGTTTAAATGCTCCCTGGTTCGTCGTAAGAGAAGTGCTATGTGACTGCGGTATTTTTATGCTTAGAACTTTTGTAATTCCTCAGCATTTAAGCACCTCTGCTACTTCTCAGCAAATTCGAAAGTAACAATTTCCTCGATGGAGGTAAGTCGCGACAGACAAGGTACTCCAGTGTTTGCATCACTCGAGCTATTGGTGCAGAAGTGTAATAATTAATTAAATACACATAATTGTTCAATATTATTAATAATTATTAAAAGGATTTAATATTTATATTTCTAAAAATTCTTATATTATTTCCTCAACACATCAAGCTTAGAATATAACAAAATTAAAATTATATCAAAAAATTAAATATTCTATGGGAAAGAAAACGAAATCATCAAACTGCTAAAACGTTTTATGGAATATTTTTCAATTAAAATTATTGATTATTAAATTAGATGACTGTTAAGAAAGTTGGACTAATTTTTTGTTGACTTTTTTCTATTCAACAATTATTTTCGAAATATCGATTGTTTCAGTGCCATAAAGTTTCATCTTTCTTCTGACTTGGTATAACTTTTAAGGTATCTACGTTAATTAGCCAATTATTATGGTTTTGATCTTTACTATATTCTTTCTTTACTATATTCTTTTTTACCAGAATTCAAATTAGTTGTGAGTGTATTTAATGTGAGGGTTTTGAATTCTTTAGTTGAGGGAGCTTCTGGCAATCTCATGCGCTGTTAATAATTTCTCCAGCTCTGTTTATAGTTGATATTGAGATTTTGGCATTTTTAATAGACAATACTTTTAACTTGCGTCCCAGCAAAATATTTTAAGCCAACTTATTTGTTGTGTCATCTTATGTGTAGTTTAAGATTACTTATCAATATTTGAATTTAATTTTGCTATCGCTTAATTTAAATAACCAAGAGTGATGGTTTTGTCTGTAGCACAAATTGTACCTTAGATTGAATTGTGCCTTGTTCAGGTTAGATTAAAATAAACATTTTATTTTAATCTAAATTGAACGTATTCAACTTAGATTAAAAGGAAAATGTTATTTTAAACCTCTTTTCGGTAATTTGTGAGTATTGAAGCATAGCTCAT